TTTAGATTTCGAATTATGCGAAGAATTTTTTGATTGGGGAGATCGGGTTCGCTTCAGATTCTTATGAGAGTCCATATCCATATCTGCACATGCTTCCGAATCATCCGTAAGATCACCGTCTTCTGTTGTTTTAGAAGTCCCTGCCTCAGGAGAAACCGCTCGCTGACGTGTTGTCGCACTTTCTATTTCTGTACGCTGCGATATCAATGATGACTGAGGATCACAATGGTTCGTAGATGCTACACCTAGAATTTGAGATAGTTGATTGGAAACCAATTGTGCCAAGTTTTCAAAAAGGTTGTTTGCGAGGCGTTTCATTGCCTTTTCCGTAGTCTTCTCTATGGCCTCTGCGATAGAAGTTGCGAGAGATGCATTCATGGCGGTGGTATTACGTGCTGCAACACCTGCATATCCTTTGGATCTCTCCTGCATTTCTGGAACGGCTTCTCTCCGAGAGCACCGTTTGCGTTCTACAATATCCAATATGGCAAGCTCCCTTTCTTTTGCTGCAGAGTCTGCAGGGTGCGCCCCATTACATAAGCAGCACCTCTCTTTCTCTGAGCTGCACTTGCGGCTGTCATGATTTTCACCACACAGACGGCATCTAAGAACTGATCGGCACCCTCTGACGCTATGTCCATATCGCCAACATTTCAAACACTGCAGGGGTTTGGGGGAAAGTGGCTCTACCCTATAGATCAGTGGCCATGCCTTAATTTCGAAAGGTCGGACTGTTCCTAAAAAGGTCACTATCACCGATTCCGTTGGGGATTTTATGTTGTCAATTGTACGGGTGCACCTGTACACTGAAATTACACCCGCCACCGAAAACAAATCGAGCACTTCTGCAGGTGTCAGGCTTGTGTCTACACCGCGGACTAATCCGTTCGAGCATGCAAGGTGTGCCAGAATAAATGGGCTTACCGGATGCGCTGCGAATTCGGAACATTGCAGGAGCTCACGAATGCATTCCTGATCTGCGGAACAACACAGGATACTTCCGCGACCAAACTGGCGGACCTCAGTTATCTCCTGGAAATGTGAAGTGGCTTTTCGAAACTCCACTTGAATCGCCTTTGGGTTCTTCTTCGGAATACTGCCCCCATTTGTAGGTACCAGCGCCACAGGGACACTTCTCGCCCCACTGCGTAATAAATAGTCTATCGGCCAATCCTTGGCGGGAGTGGTAGCTAACCAAGGGGAGTGCCCTTGGCCGGGGGAACAAAATGACATCAAGATCGAATGACTCGCTTCAGCTGAGAAAGACCGATACAATTACCGGAAAATAACGAACTCTAAAAGAACAATAAGGATACTGCCGCCCGATCTTGAGCCGGGCAGCTTCTTCACAGTCGAGCCTCACAGTACAGGTCAGGCATTGGCCAAGGTATAAAAACCGTAGCCTGCCGCTGGTGCCGCGGGGACCGACTCTCTGCACGAGCTGCTCTTCTTCTTACAAAAAGGGCGACCCACTAGAAGGCGCTGGAGAGGACGAACCACTGTTCAAAGACTTTACCACACAATAAACAATTAACATTACTGAGTTCAGTAAAGTAGGTTCTGAATGTTGTGGATACAGTCAGAAAAAAGCACTAATTACCTAGTTGTTTCTCGACAGCAGTCTTGCTCGATTACGTGTATTGATTACAGGTTTGAGTATGTGTATGTAGAATCGACCATTTAATTTTTAAAAATGTTTAGTACTATTTGTTCTAGTTTACTTCTAAAATATTTTGTGCAGGGTGCTGAAGTATTAAGGATATACAATGGGGAGATTTTACTAACAATAGCACATGCTGCACAGTGACTGTTACTTCGCTGAGAAGCCATGATGTCCCAGTATTCTGCTATATCTCGGCTGGGCTCCTTGATGTCCGCAACTGTCCATGTCGAACAACTTGTCAAATGTAAATGCGTTCTGTCATATCGTCATACATTTTCTCCAGCACACATGAATTAATGGGTAGAAGGGACCTTATGAACTGCTCATTAACCAGGACCATAACGATTCTGTACCTAGAGCGTGACAGCACACAATAAAGGACTAGGTTGTACTGAAAGCATTAACATAATGACGCTTTTTTTTAAGGTAAATAATACGCATTTAAAGTTTCGGTAGACTGCTTTCGTATTGTTACTGAACCATCGGGGAAGGCCAGGGCAATTCACAAATACCAAGTGAATTTCGGGGAAGTGTTAGGTAGCTTGAGATGGCTTGAGGGATGTCAACAGAAAAGCAAAGAGCAGTGGCCTACTTTCTTGTTGAGGAGTACTCAACAACACGAGCGGATTTCCTGTGAGATGTGGTGCAACAGCTCCTGCTTGGAGACAGATGTTTGCAGCTGAAAATGTGTGGCAAATAACTGCTCCAAACGGTTTGTTATGTTGTCCCAAGGGGAGATTTCAGTTTCTCCACAAGCTGCTTCAAAATGGCTTTCGTCAATCACATCATCGTCTCTCTCCATAAGTTTTCAAGTAAGTTTCAATGACTTGCAACTGTGACAGATGCGGCACTGAGCGCCTGCTTCGACCAAAAAAGAACAAGTTTTTTCGCCATGGGAACATTCTTGTCTCACCGTTCATATCGGTGCAATTCAACATTCAACCTAGCATTGTGTTAGTGTAAGAAAAAGTAAGCTAGCCTGACGATCTTTTCATTGCTAATGTTTGTGCTTCAAACCTTAGAGATCATTTAGAAAACTGCACGTGTCTGAAGCTGTCCCATTAATCTGCAAGCATAGATTGGTCATAGAGTGTATGAGGATGGTAAAATGGGCATGTTGAGGATGGAAATATGTCAGATCTAACTCATCATGACTGCTGCAGCGAGTACAAACATGCTTTGACGAAAATTCAACCTCTCTTATCGTGATGGTTTTGTTTCCAGCCTAGAAGCGTTTGGCTTCTCAAAGAAAAGCTCTTATGCGCCCATCGGTCTTGCGTCGCATTTATGCATCACAGAAAGAAGGTTTAAAGTTGATCAGTGCAGAGTGCCTGCACTATAGCCTTTGTGTTAAATAGAAGGGAGCTACTAAATATAGTGACATTCTTGCTTTAAAATATGCTCAGAAAATTCTCTGGGTTACGAACACTTTCAGAAGGCAGCATCTTACTCGAACATAAACACGAAACGAGCTGTGGACACAGTAGGGAAAAAAAACTTTCAAGACAACTGTGCCTTTTTGTTGAAGCCTGTGAAGTGCAGTTTATTATTAGGATTATGCCATTTAGTACGTCAGACTGCTGTAGCCAAGAATACTTGTTCCTAAACAAGAAAAAATAAAGGACAGAGGGTGAGGAGGGCACTTATTTGAGGAGGGAAAAATAGACAAAGCACACTATGTTGGTGGCTGCTTAATGTTCGAAATGCATAGTAGAAGAGTTGTTTAATACTTTGTCTTTTTTTTTAAATGGTGGTGAGGACTCCAATGTCACAAAATTTTTCGATGGGTGGGGAGGGCACATACTTAATGTTGACAACTCCTTTTTCCTGCATAGAACTACCTCTCTCAAGCCTGCCTTTTAGGGCGTAACTTCTTCGACCCTTTTCGCAGTGAATATTTTATCATGAAGAAAAAAAATTTTCCTTAGGCTCAATGGCTGTAGAGAGCAGTACAAAGCAGTTTGAAATGGCAGTTCTCTTCTAATTCACTTGCACATCTAAAATGATAGCGTGGCAAATAAAATTCACTAGTAATCATGGAGGAAAAAACATTCAGGAGGTGCAACTCTGCTCCTTGAGGTGAACAGATAATGTCACATTGCCAGAGTGGCAATTCATGTTGGCGGCATCTTGCATCAGAAAAGGCAATCGCTGCAGTTTCGATTTCTGAGCGAACTGATCGCGCATGTTATTTGCAGTCCACCGCAGTCGGGAAGCGAGGACGCGGAGCACGTTCGGCTGGGCTCAGCCAGTAGCCTTTCCTGTCCTTTTTTTTTTTTCGTGGCAGCGGCTTTGTGCTGCAAGGTGCCACCAATTGAAATGTTTTCGCCGGATCATGTTATTTTTGTGTTTTATGTGATGTTATGTGGACGCCCATTCTAACGGGAGTTTTACTTCCTAAATATTTCTTCCTCCGTGGCAGTAATGCAGTCAAACCCCTTTATAAGAGGCATGTGCCAGGTAGCAGTAGTTGTCTTTTATATGAGGTGTCTCTTTTAGGCAATGTACCACATATGCATTTTCTTATAAACCTCTATTTTGATGCAGGCACACTGGTGTCTCTTACACCCAATTCTTTCTGTTACATCAGTGTTTCTCATAAAGGGATTCGAATGTATGACACTCGCTATCACAGTCTCATGATCACTGCGTAAAGCAATCAAGAATTGTTTCTTGATCCTCAGAGAAGAACACACTGTAATGAATGTACGTGCTATTTAAATTGTGGCCTTGAATACCATTCCAGCATTCCTATTATGAATGATCTGAACGAAATGCATATGCAGACTAGTACCAACAATTATTAGGCCACCTGGTGCGACTAAGAGCGGCTTAATAGACTTTTTCAAAGTCATCTCCACCGGCTTGGCAAGGAGGAATGACAAAAGAGGCCCGACAGGAACATCAAGAAAACTAAAACCACTTGAAAGTTGTGCTACCTCTCATTTCACCTGTACCCAAGTCGCACACCTCTTTTTTCCAGGTAACAGTCTGCAATCTCATTGTGTTGGCTCTCACACCTAAATCCCAGTTCATGCCATCGTTACACCGTGCGCTTGCATATTCGACTCCACTGATTGATCCTTTTGCTTGAATGTTGCATTTCATTTCTCGGCCACAGCAGATACAAAACCTTAATGGGTTGTACCTTTCTTTGCTGCCCTTGTGTCAATGCAGTAGTGTGTGGAGTGTGCTCAGCTACAGATTAATCAATGAAAACACGTTTTTCCCTTAATATGCACTCTAAGGCATTTGTGTGTAAAAACATAAGCTTACTACTCACTGCAACTATCAATGGTTTGTGGTGGGAGGGAATGAAGAAAATCAACACGTGTTACTCGAGGTTGTGTAATGCGCTTTATGAAGCCAAAATAAAACAAACAGTAACCATGTTTTGTACCAACTGCATCACCAACAATCAATCGTAAAAACAGCTAGATCAGTAAATATGTATAAAGAAAAAATATATACATTTTCAACAAAAATAAAAAGTGTTGTAGTGACAAATACGGGCACTGTTGGAGCAACGACGAAGCCAGCGTTCGAAGGTGGCAGGCGCATAGCAGAGGTCACACCGCATCACATTGAACTCGTACAATTCATCAGGTGTTACAAACGCAGTCTTAGAGAGGTCGGCTTCATTCATAGGGTCCAGATCGAAGGTCTTAAAAACAAAAGAACTCTGCTCCTTTCAGGCAATCGAGAGCGTCACAATACTGGGCAGCAGATAAACGTCCTTGCGCCCGATCTTAGTAAGATGCCTATAATCAATGCAAAATACGATGCTGCCATCCTTCTTTTTCACCAGTCCAACCGTAGAGGCCCAAGGGCTGTTTGAAGGTTGTATTACGCCACGTCGAAGCATATCGTTTGTTTTTATATGAGGGCAGTCTGCCTTTTTTCTTCACTAACTGTTCGGTGTGCCAGGAAACATTATGTGGCATTATCCAAATGCATCACAGCAAGACACTCTTCCAAGCATTCAATAAACAGAACGTGCCAAAGGTTTCGGAACACAGCCCGCAAGCAGGCTAAGCTTACTCTATGCTCCATGACTTTTCTTGGCGGCACTGTGGAAGCTACAGAACCAAAGTGCATGCCTGCTACAATGCAGGAAAATAGTGCCGATGTTTACTGATAATTTTCTAATTGGCCTTGTTTAATTAAAAGGAGCTTTATTAATAATGAGACTTAAACTGTTGTGGGAAGTGATACGTATAATGCAGTTCGTGTTCACACTACAAGAATTCCCTTCCTTTCTTCTCTATTTTTCTCAAAAGAGCATCACTCGTTCAGCACATGCATTTTGCAAGGTAAACATATGGCGACCATGAAATGGTCAAGTGTTTAGTACATCAAAAAATAAATAGATATATAGTATGACACTAAAATGTACACTGAACCAAAGAAATGTTTCCCCAATTCACATTTTGGTGTATACAATTTTCAAAATGTGCTAAGAATGCGAGCAAGCAAAACCAAAGTCGGCCGAAAGCCGCCGTACTTGTACAGCAACACGAATGTGCGGAAGCCCTGCCTCTGTAGCTTTTGCTCCACTGTCAAGTTAAGCAGTCACCAAGGTTGATGGACATCTTGGCATGCCTAGTGGAGGAGCTGCTGAAAGTTACAGTATACGTTCCACTGAAGTAAACTCTGCTTTGAGTCGATTTGTAGAAATTCGGGGTTTCGTTGAGAACAGGGCAAGACAGTTTATCAAACCAATTGGTGAACTGCTATCAGAGCAATCGGAGGAGTCACGCAATCGTGATTCTGCGGATCTTAGACGTGCTCCTGGTTTGATGATGAAAGCATTTTCGAAAAGACTGAGCTCTGTAGCAGCTTTCTAAGCAAAGCTAGCAAATGTGTTAAAAACAGTATAGTTAGGTAAGATAGAACCAGATGGCCGTAGGTTCAGCCATCCGGCACAAGAGCAGAACCATTTCTCTAGTTGTTGAGGCAATTGGTGGTCACCCTTCAGTGGTATGGGCGGGGCTTCATTCACTTCCTTAGGTTGTATATGACAAAAGATTACAACCAGTCAAATTTACCAATCAACTTGACAGGGACACTACTGAAAACGTTGCACTTTAAAAGCAGACTGCAATTTTTTTAAACGAAAATCTCATTTGGCGACTATGTGGTGGAGAAAACAATGAGAATAATCTATACCATTAAGAAAATTTAAAGTAATTCTGCTTGTCCCGTTCATGTGCAAGAAAGGTGGAGATTTTGTACATTCTTGCAAGAAGCATACATCTCATGCCACAATTGAGAAGTTCTCAGCATCAGACAGAACTCACTTCGTTACAGTGAGCTTGCATGGGAGCTTTTAAAGTGGTGTCGCTTCTAATCATTTCGTAACATTCTGCATGCTGTCTACAATTCTAAACATACACTCACAATAAGTTGAGGTTAGTTTAATGCTTTCCATACTGCCCTTTTTAACTATCACAAGAATGCCATCATAAATCTGCATGCACAACACTTACTCTAACTCCAGGAAGCTTCTAGCCCCTCATTTCAGATCACAATACATAATAAATATACACTATAACAAGAATAAGCAAAAGATGCTAGGCTGCATCTTAATCATGTCATCAATATGCAGCTTGCTAATGAGCTCTCTCATGTATTGCACTTCTCTTTCAAACAACATGCCATTCATACGTGACCATTGCTGCAATGCAAGAGGCTCATCGAACCCTTTAACAATATATGTTGCCCAGCCAAATACTACGAGTCCAATCAACCTGAGATTAAATAAAAAGAATGAGCAATGCCAAATCTTACAACTGCAGCAATTACCAAGGCCCAACTAAATCTTCAGGCCAAAGACATCCCCAGTTCACTAAAGAAAAAAATCACAAAATGAAGTTTCAAACCAAATGAAATTTTCATATTTACTCGATTGTAACACTTCTTTTTTTCCAGAATTTTGCTACCTAAAGTCGACTCTCGTGTTAGTGTTACAATTGAATACCCAAGTTCAAGCTGTCTAAAAAGTACAATCACGCACGCAATTCTTTTATTTTTGTTGTATTTTCTTTCCTCGACGCAATGACTAGTCACCCCTCACATTATCATCGTGGCTGCATTACAACCCAGTCAATACGATTGTACAGTGAAGTGACAACTCGGGTTGTGGGATGAAAGCCAATCGGACACACTGAACATTTTTTCTAAACATAGTGGGGTCTGAGCATCTGCATTTGCCTATGGGTGAAGATTAAGCCTTGTCAAATATCATCACAGCTTCATACGGCCAACTTGGCCGCAAGCAGACGTTTTGTGGCAGCAGAAAGCATGCGTTTGCGATGCTCTGTATCACATACAAGAAAACACGCTGCATAATTGGTGCTGTGGCACACGACAAACGCAAACCGACCACGACGAGAACAGCATGGTGGGAGCACTCTAGATGCCAAAATTTCAAGACACAACAATAACATTAGTTCCACTGATGGTGCCAAGTCCTTGCGTGGCTGGTGACTCGGGGGCACTGGTGGGCATGAAATAAAGTCCCGTGGTTGTGAGGTGCTAGCCCACACCAACACTACACGTATGCCGACTAAGTTTGCGTCCCTGTTTACACAGCAACATGCACGTTTCACCAGGGAACCAAGACAATGTAACGTTCTATCATTCCTGTTCACTAACAGCTATAAACCAACGTACTCTAATATGTATGACAAAGGATACCAAAAATAAGCAAGTCAATCATTAGAGCTGTTCACATCAAAGGGGCTTTGCAACAAATTTCTTAGTTATCTTACTTTAACCATACTATCAGACTCAGTTGGCTGCCTCGATCTTAAATCTCCTGCTTGAGTGTGTCACAATTTATCAAGTGTCAATTAGTGCACAAAATACATGCTTTCTCCCGACTTCCTTCACCATAAGCATGCCAGAAACTGCACAGGGGAGCATGGCAAGGGAGCAATGTACTACGCTAAGGTTATATTGCCACGATATTATATATATTATTATATTGCCACGATATTATATTTTTTTCTGCAATATTACTGACTGTTACTACTGGTGCAAATGTGCATCATGCTGACGCATAGTCGCACCAGGCAGCATGTGGCCCAAAAGACCATTCGCTGCAGTGCCACCCATGAAATTGGTCACCATTTGTCGTGCCCACTTGCTATGTAACAAGGACGGCGCAGTGAAAATGACGGCAAGTGATTTTTATGGCTTCTACTAAGACGAAATTGTAAGTTGCCTACTGCACGTAATAATACTTGGCTCGTAGCAGCCTCGACTACAGGTCAGCAACATTTTCTGAGTGCAATCTGTTGTGGGACCTGTTCAGGAAAGTACAGGAGAAATATGGGTGGTGGCACGACAGGTTTGTAATCACGCTAAATGTTCAATACACTCGCAGTGCCAAAAACATCATTGCAGAAGATAACACTGAAGCTACTCTGATGCTTAGCTGCAAAAGCCAGCAAGTGTTACGACACATGCAAAATGAACCATGCTATTACAATTTTGGTTAACAGGACATGTTGAATTACAACCAGTATGGAGCAGTTGCAACAATCTGTTCGAAAGAATTTGCAAAAGTTTAGTGATATACAGTTGAAACCAACTGTATCATACTCTGGCGAATTCCTTGCATAGAAATAGAAGTACATATATTAAACTTATCACCTTCAGATACACGGCATCTGGGTTTGACAGTACAAGTTTGAGAGGTAGCATGTTATACTTACAAGACTTCATGGCGAATATTATTTATGTTTCTTTTTTTTACCTCAATTTCTCATTCATTCACAAGTTTTCTCTTTCATGGCGTAAAGAGTCCCGAGTAAAACTAATTACTAGTAATCAAATGAGTTAGGGAAAATAAAACAACCTTACATGTCACAACATATAATAATGAAATGTTACTTGTCCATTACTGTTTGGGTCATTGAAAAAAAAAAAAACTGCTCTGCGTCATCATTGGGAATGGCGCGAGTGATTCAAAAGTTTTGTCGAACTACGCTTCACTCACACAGTGACATCTCAGTGGTAGCTTCAGTATCGCGTACTGCGTCTTGTGCTTTGCACGCTCACAAAAGTAGCTGTGACGGAAACTTTGACAAAATGCCGCAAGGAGGTGCAGTTGGCGGATTGCCAAATGGTGTACGCCACTTGAGCTGCAGCAAGAAGACTGATGTAACTTTCCAGTGGGTGCCACAAAACGAACCCTTACACTCAAAATGGCTGTGCACCATGCCTCTTCATCAGCGTCGCGGAGCCAATGTCTTGGTAGGTTCACTGATGACATCTAGAGTGACAAGCTTCAATGGCCGTTATTGCTGCTGTGGCTCCCGCTAAATTTGCTCTGCAGCTGCTAGTGTCGGCGGCCGCACAGTAAAGGCGAGCAAGGTTGGGCAGGGCAACTGCTACATCAGAAGGCGTGTTCAGGTAAGTGACTTGAACGGCGCAAACATCTTGCGGACCACTGAACTCAATTTCATCTTGGAATAAGCATTTCCTTGACACGAAAGTAGCACTGTGAGGTTTCTGGATTGCTATTTCAACGATCAACGTCGACTTAATATTTGCCTCTGGTACCTTTTTAAGGAAGTGGAAGGAAAGAAACATTCATCATCAGTGTGCATATTTGTGTATAAGTGGACATGCAACTTGGAAAAAGAAAGTTTCTTTAGCTTATAGCCTAGATCAATGAAATTATTACTATATATTTTGACTTTTGTGCAGATTTCAAATATGTAATGTGTTTTATAAGCTGCCCAGTTTTCAACTTGCACAATGCAATGGGTGAAATACAGGTTATTGGACAAACTGTTTTCGCCACTAAACTTTCATGGTTTTGAGGGATTAACAGCTCACATTGATCTGCATTAACTGTAGAATGCAAATAACTAACAAGAAATATTATAAAAGATGCTTTAATGGACAAAAAAATTTTAATGCGACACGACTTTAATGTGACTCAGCCCACACTAATTGTTTACTTTAGGCCCGTTATATTCATGTAGGCATTCTCAAGTTTAAAAGAAAACACTTGCACTCTTCGTACGTTAAGAAATATGGGGGCAAAATTTCATCCTGATCTGACAATCAGAAGTAACAAAAACATGGTGTCCAAACTTAAGAAGTTGTCCGAAAATGAATCTTGAAAAAAATGCATTTTAAAGGTATAAGTGAGAGCTCACCTATGTTGCAAATATATGTTTTTTAAATGATTTATTCCATCATGAGAGTTTGGGAATCATAGTTAGTTTGAATATGCAGCTTTGGTGAACTGCTCATGCAAAATGCGATAGCAAGCAGCCAGGTGACAATTTCCAAAAGTCTTAGACAGCGAACATTTTTTCTAATATTTATTGGCCACTTTGTGCTCTTTTAATGTCATCTTAGCTGACTTCGAGTTTGATTACAATCTTGAATCCTTCTGTCCTGAAAGTAGAGAAACTAAATTGATTGATATGTGGGGTTTGGCATCCCGAAACACCCATATGATTATGAGAGACGCCGTAGTGGAGCGCTCCGGAAATTTCGACCACCTGGGGTTCTTTAACGTGGACCCAAATCTGAGCATACGGGCCTACAAGATTTCCGCCTCCATCGTAAATGCAGCCGCCGCAGCAGGGATTCGATCCTGCGGCCTGCGGGTCAGCAGCCGAGTACCTTAGCCACTAGACCACCACGGCGGGGCGAAAGTAGAGAAACTAAACTTGTGAAATCAAATAAAAACAAAAAACATGCAGTTTTGGGAAAACCTTGCATTTTTTGGCTCCCATCTCCTCTCAACTACTACTTTTCAGCATCATGCCTCAACACACAAACAAGCATATGCTAACGCTGCGATTTTCCTGCGGTCCATGCCGTGAAGATCTGAGGACTGTGCTATCAAGTCACGTGCCCACCCGAAGGTTTGTTCGCCACGAGCCGTGGTTCTGCAGGGTATATGCATCTGAGTATATGATGAGAGTGGCAGGAATCGTGCATTGTGGTGTTACAATAACAACACTGTGTAGGCTGCCACTACTAATGTTCACGAAACTTGTTTGCTTTAACACTTTTCATAGTCGAGAATGCATTCTACAGCCCAACTAACAATGCTCCAGTTTTGAGAAAGGAGCGAATTCCACATCACCAATGGATCCAAAGATATCTCGTGAACATAATCACTTTTCAGATCAGTTGTTATTCCTGAAGGTATTTTATAAACATGAAAAAGACCTTTTATATTTAAAAAATACTGAGATTACATGTTTAAGATTGCATTCACTGGCACACGAACACAGCAACCATTTTCTAACATTTCCTTAATTTGAAAAGCTTCTTCTTCTTTTTCCTTCACTGAATAGATAGAGGTGTAAACGATAGTGTGCCAGGTTGCAATGCATGTTGATTATCCTACATCATGCATTTGATATCAATGCACAGTATTTGCAACACACTACATTGGCACTTTTCGTTGTCTGTGGCATCATCATGCCAAAAATCAAGTGCCAGTTGTTGCAAGACCTCACAAAAGGATGTTCATTGAACCACTTTGCTGTACAGTTGCACACCAATCCAAAAATATCTGCAAGTAATACTTACAGCAAAAGCTTTTGAGTTATTATTCAACAAAATTCAGGGGCTTTAACAAAATTTAGAGCATAGTTCAGAAGGAGTCACATGAGGAGATTATAGAACTGCTTTTTGATGCACACAGCTTATCTGGATATGAAAGGAGGCCTTACGAACGACGCGTTCTTAGATCGTAGCGAAATATTTTCACAGATTTAAAAACAGCCAAGAGACGACCTCTTGAGAGCTGCTGGTCGGCACGAGTAGTGAACACAGGCGCGGGTGCCTCGGCACGTGTAGCCCGGTCACGAGTACAGCTCCACAACGGCAAGCACCTAGGTATTGCACATGTCACAGCCTCAACTAGGCATGCCGACCGCCAAAATCTCAAGAAATGGCTTGCTCCAGCCATGGTTGTAAGGAGCCACTCAGTTTACAGCCCTACGACGATTCTTCGTTGCACGATCTGCCGGGACAAGGCGTGTGTATGAAGGTCGGCTTCTCACGCTTGGGCTCCAATGCGGACACCTCCTCGCACACGTGCACCACAATGCCCGGCTGCGTCTCCGAGGCTGGGTGTAGCTCGTGTGGCTCACCTGCAAGAAAGGGTAGTGCCGGTTTGCTAGTCGTCGTGATCAGTGGCATCCACTGCCTACCCATTCATTACATGGCCCTACGCATTCATTACATAACCTTCATAACTTCAATTCTTTCTCTTGATCTCGATTTGAATATATACACAGACATTTCCATCTGACAGGGCAAGCACCTTTTTGCTAGGTCGTTGCATGGGGTTACAAATTTTGGCATTGATGCTTCAGCAACACATTTTCTGGAGTCACGCCTTTTACAAAAGCCCAGAGGGCAACTTGGCAGTGCCCAAAGAGCCCTTGCTGTCCACAGTGGTTCAATGCAACTGCTTCCTTATCCCCACCTTCTGTTTCTTAATTAAACACCTGCCAATAATTTTCCGAAGCGCTTATCGGCTGCTTTGTTAACCTGTATGCTTCCACAGGCAGAACAGAATGACTGAACAATGACAGTGAAACCTCACTTAATCGAAATCACTGGGACAGTGTGAAATCTTCCAATTAGCTGGGTTTTTGAATTACCGTAATTACTCGAATCTAACGCGCACCTTTTTTTCGGTTAAGCGAGTTCATAAATCGCATGCGCGTTAGAATCGAGTACGAAAAAAAAAAATGAATACGGTCATCCTATTGCCATCGGCATTTCCAAAATGGCCACCCCCTATGTGCGTCGGCATGGCGCGTCGGCCATTTCTGCCTGTGTGTTTTCCATGTGCGGCACTTCGTACGTGTGCTGAGGAGTTCGTCATATTGTAGTGCATTAGAATCGACGGCATGGAAGGGTAGACTCCAAAAACTCGACGAGTGCACCATGATGCCGCTTTTGAAAGTCATCGCGTGTGCCGAAACGGGCGGAAATCGGGCCGCATCGCGGTCGATCGGAGTTCCCGAAACGTGCATGCGGGACTGGAGGAAACAAAAGCAGAATATTGTCGACAGCAAAGATTCACGCAAAAGCTTCAGCGGACCACAGCACGGTCGATTTCCGGAAATTGAAGAGCTGCTCGGTGAGTATGTGATTGAGCAGTGAGCGGCACAGCGGCCCGTGACGACATAACTGCTCCAAGTGCAGGCTATGCAGTTAGCCTTAGAAAAAGGGCTAATGTGGAGCCAGTTTAAAGCGAGCAGGTGCTGGCTAACTAACTTTATGAAGAGGAAAGGCTTTTCCCTCTGAAGGCGAACGGGCATATGCCAAAAGTTGCCGGACGAGTACGAAGAAAAGCTTCACAGTTTTCAGAGGTTCGTCCTAAACTTCCAGCACAACAACGGCTACCTGCTTGGGCAAATCGGGAATGCTGATCAGACGCCTCTTTACTTCGACTTGTTTGGCACCACAACCGTCGAGAAGAAGGGGGCGAAGCAAGTTCGCGGGCTGACATGGGGCCACGGTAAAACTAGAGTGACGGCAATGCTCCGTTGCACGTCAGATAGGCCCAAGCTTCCCCCGTACCTCATATTTAAACAAAAGACGCTTGCGAAAGGAGTCGTTATCCCGAGTGGTGTGATCGTGCGGGCCAACGAGAAAAATGGGTGTGCGTTGCAATCGATGTCTTACTTTTTTTTTTTCGTCGTGGAAACCGGGTGCGTGTTACAATCGAGGGCGCGGTAGAATCGAGTAAATACGGTAAGCAGAACATACAAAAAGTGGGATCCAAGGAACTTGAAATAATTCGATGTAATCGGTGCTGTTCATTTGCTGTGTCGGCCAGTTTGCGGCTCCAAGAGTTACATTTTCTAGCAATACCTTGTCACAATTTTGCTGCAAACAAGGGGGAACGCGGAGCCTCACTGCTGCCACCAAGAAGAAAGAGACATGATCAACTAAATTGCACACCTGCAAAAAACAAGACATCTTTATGACAACACAGTAGCGACAGGCGAGCAGCATGTTAACTGCGCCTTGCTGCATCAGCACGTCATGATGCGACCACTCGCCCACTCTTTCTAATAAAATAAACAATTCAATAAAGGATAGTGTGTCGAAATTGACAGTGTGTTTTGGTTAGAAAACATCACCATTGGGGCTTTCGAACAGAGTTTTCGAAGTAGGCATTGCAGGAAAAAACTCCGCCAGTAGTGGAGGTGCACAAACTGCTGGAGATAGAGGCAATGAGAAGTTTGCATACATGAGGAACTCCACAAGACTGTATTTTATTAACTTATTGATATTCCCAAAAAGAACGGGTAAATCATGACGTGCTGTTGTTGCGAGAAGCATGCAACATGCTGCCTGCGCATCACCACAGTGTTGAAATGAAGCATGTCTTGTTTTCTGCAAGCGCACATTTAAGCTGATCACGAGATCATTTTTTAACACCGAGACTTCACTGACGTATTTCTGTCACAGATATTATGTTGTTAAAATGTACATGAACAGCATATAAAGAAATAAACCCCAAAAAATCGCAATTTTGGGGACCTGGGAATCGAACCCACGACCTCTTGATTCACAACAATGTTAAGCACGCGCTTAGCCAACTGAGATTTTAATGCATTTGCAAAGCACTCTTCAGATGCACCTTATCTATCTCACACTCCTTTGTTCTATATCCTCGCTCTTTTTCAGAGCAGTGCCGCCGCCTAAGAACGAAACAAGTACTGCATTATGACGGCAACTAACACTAACAAAGAACGCTGCTGTAGTCTCAGCCCTTCGGCATCTCGATGCCAGCATTTGAACAGACGCTAACATCGGAGCCTACCAACACCGCCTAGGTGGCGTTGGCCCTACTAGAAAGAAAGTGCGGCGTTGCCTCTGCCATCAACTCCGACAATGTTTTTGGATCCAATTTTGCTGGCCACAAACACAGCAATTGCGATGTGCTCTATGCACTGGTTTGATTGGGTGACGACGCAGTTACTTGCTTCGTGTGTCGCTTCGTGTGCAGTGTAGTACAGCTTCCATGAGTAACTTCTACTGATACGAGTGCGATGGCACTGATTACAAAAACTGTTGCATTAGGCTCCCCTGAAATACAACAGCCGCCCAAGTCAGCTCAGTGCAGCGATGAACATGCCAGGCGGGAAAACAGGCGCATTCATGGCTCAAGCTGAGAACTCTGTTTCTCACGTTTGTGAAGATAAATGCATCACAATGCAACTGGCTGCCATACAGACACCGATGCAGAACTGAAATTATTGTATCTTCACCGAAGTGACCTATTAGCAGGACACTGCATGCCAAGTACATATCCACAGGACGGTCGCCAACCTGCAAATCATGCACCCTTCCCTGCAGCAGATAGTTGAAAAACGATTAAATTAAAACACGTTTGGTTTAATTTGCATGGTTTATGATCTCTCGTGGTTCAAGTGTAATTTGCGCGATGCTTCGGTGCGTGCAGTGCCTCCGGAGAGTGTAAACTAATTGCGAGTTGGTGGCTGTCGCAATGGAGAAGATGTGCTACCACATGCTAACATGGGGGCATCAACATCTAAAGCTGCTGTAGCCATTAAACGCCAATAGACATTGTTTATAAATGAGTAATAAACCTTGAACTACTTCTGTAAAGACACGTCTCACTTTTGTGTGTTATACCGATTCCTACGTCAGAGGGATCAACCACTTTTCTTTTTTTTTCCATGCTGGAAATAGCAAGTCTGATGCGCTTCAGCTGTCACTCATTATTATCACTACAGTACATTACAGCCTTTACAGCCATTACAATACATTATAGCATTACAGTACACTACAGCCTAGTAGCTCTTAAGAGCCGCCGTTCCAGCGGATTTGTGGCGATATTGGGATTGGCGAATTGGCACACTGCACCCAAAGTTTTCGAATTAACCGGATGGGTGCTGACTGCCACTTCAAATTAGTTGCTAAAATTTTCATTGCGAAATATGGGACCCTGGAAATACTTCAAATAAGCAGAACTTCAAAATAACCGAGTTCAAATTATCGAGGTTTTACTGTATAGTCGCAGTGCCTGCTTTATGCATTCCCACGTGCTCCTCATTTTTCTGTAAATATTTTCATTTAGCTAAAGTCCCCTCTGTGTGATTAGTCCAGATAAACAAACTCTTGCAATTGTAGGGCTCCATAGAGGTGAGCTGATGGCTCACACAATATTACAAGAACAGTAAGTAACAGCACTCTGAGCTTCCTTCTCATGAGTTGGTCACAGGGAGAGGTTGGTCATGTTGTACATGCATTTGGCAAGCAGCGTGACAATCAACATGCCCGCCAGGAGGTAGAAAAAGGAAAAGCACTGACTTACAATTTTTTGAGCACACACAGGCCATGCTTAAATACCACGCAACAGTATAGCACTATGACGAGGTGGTTAACAGATCTTCGGAGCTTTGCTTCCAGCAAAAAACACATAAGTCATGCATATGAATAATGCGATTCATTGTCACAATTAACTCGAGAGCGCTTGTAGCCAATAGAGTAGAGAGAGAGACGCAAGTTGGAGGTAACATGGCAAACCCATTTTATTATTACACAAAGTGGCAAAATATTAACAAACCGCCAAAAATCACGCAAAAACAAACATGCACAAAATAACTGGCTATACAGTGAAACCGGTACTAACACTGATTCGAGCCAAGTTCTAAGTACTAAGCCCTAATCTTTCTCTAGCCAAGATGGCCTCTTGGTGGCTACTCTCATGCACTCCTGCAATAGTTTAACATTCTTACTGTTTAGATGCCACCCTCAGAACTACGACAAAGTGGCACCGTCGCCAAGCGAGTCGCTTGTCTTCACTGCTGGTGTCCCGGTCTTATTTATCATCTTCGGCCCATTTGTTCAAACTCAGCTCGTCAATGGCCTCATTGATGACTCACTCCGAAGACTGGTGTGGGCCGCAACCATTCTGGCACAAAGTGGAAGAACTCAAGTCCCCCCAGGAACTGGTGTAGAAGGTCGCCGCAAGTCTGGGCAACCTCATTCGAGTGTTCCGAGAATGACGGCCACTCCCCGTACCTCTTCACCAACAGCCTCCAGAATTGGGCAGCTACTGCTTTCGTTGCCGTAGCAACGCTGACCTTCCTACTGTTCGCAGTTCAAAGTTCCACACCGCAGTGACAGCTCATCCTCTGTGCTTTTCCATAACGGCTCAGATCGGGAACCATGAGCCTTTCTCCGACCAATCCCATACATTAATGTGGTATGTATGCACACAATCAGGGTTTCGCGCACCAGCGCTGCATTGCAGCACCCGGCACGCGCCTCACGCCCTCTTACTCATGACATTTATCATTGTACAGTGATAGTAGAGCAGGCCAGTACATAACTGTTAATGCAAAATTGATTACTTGGAATCAATAATTTGGTATTTTTATAGCTGATCAACTAACTTTGCTTAGTTTGTAATGACCTGCATTATCTGGTCACATTTCTTCATACAGCTGCTTCATGTCCAAGACAAGCTGTAATCGTAAGCATTTGTACTTGGCACCAAAGACAGTAGGATGACCACTGTAGTGCAACACTGCAGCTACCTCGTGGATATGAGAGGTCCAACAGGCAAACCTGGGCATTCGATTCTTTGTCCTCATGTCATGTCCATGCGGAGTGTCGTCAGCGCTGTATGCAATGCATGGCAATCATTTTGTTTTTCCAATGCGACTTGATAGCTCCCAAACTTCATTTCAAAAATTTTCCAGTTTGCAGAACCAGCGAAATTTCATTTTGTAATGGTCCAGGCCAACAGTTCATTCATCTGCTTCAGGCGCACAGAAAAATAGTCCCCCTAGTTTTCTACAGGCTAGTACATACCTCTTACTAGTTTGGCCAAATTTCTGCTAATCACTATTTACACTGCAAACGAACTATAGTTGGCATGCTGTACAATTCAATATGGCGCCCGAACGAGGGTCAAGCCGTTTGTGAGCATAGGAACAGATAGGACGTGCAAATGTACGGCCCATGACACTTTCATCGAATGAAGTCGTGAGCTGCATTGAAATGTATGCGAGACTACAATGCTCTCTCAAACCATAGAAGCTCGCCACCTAATTATTTGCAGCAATACGCAAGGTTACATTAGAGCTGTGTTACCGTCCATGAACAGCTTTGGGAAATAGTGTGCATGCTATAGAAAACTGCATGAACTACATTTATAAACTGAATAGCACTCGAAGGTATGTTCTGAGCCTGCCTGAGGAATTTGCCATAGTAGTGGGCCGCTGGTGTGTAGGGTCCTTGCAGCTGCATGGGGCCAAATGTTTCACATGGTGATGGTACGCAAACATATTACTCCGTATAGTGCCTTACACCCTCTCAGCATCTAGCTGCGCAGAATTTACTGGACGGCTCAGTTTGTTCACTGATGCAGAAAAGATGCAATGTCATGGTGTTCGTTTTTTGCTAATGCATTAACACTGATGCTAGTACAGCTGAACAAAGAAGCGAGTGCATCGTGCTGACATTATGTCATCTACTGACCCTCCTCAAGAGCACGCTCCAGAATTCCACAGGGCATTGGAAATACTTTAGCAGCTGCTGTACTTTTGGCTAGTGAAACATCACTGCGATCACCTGATTTGTAGGGTTTAACGTCCCAAAACCACCACATGATTATGGGAGACGTCGTAGTGGAGGGCTCCGGAAATTTCGACCACCTGGGGTTCTTCAACGTGCGCCCAATCTGAGCACACGGGCTTACGGCATTTGCGCCGCCATAAAAAATGCAGCCAAGATTGGATCCCGCGCCCTGCTGGTCAGCAGCCGAGTAACTTAGCTACTATGCTACCATGGCGGGGCAGCTGCGATCACTCTTGTTCCTATATGTTTAATTAAAATAAGTAGCAAATTACACATTTAAAGTTAACATCTGATTAATTCTTTGTTAGGAATAAATGTGCACAAGTGTTGAGTAATATTTCATACTTTCTTGCACACAACATGCCCCCCAACTACAGACCATGAAGAATAAATAAATAATAATAAACGCCCCCCATATATATTGATGAAGCCACATCCGTTGCATTACCGTGAAGAAGTGGCATGAAGCCAACTTGCACAACAAAATTTCGGTCTAACTCGCATTCCGATACCCTTCAAATTTCCATTGTACTGTGTATAGGTTAGGCATGAGAATATGCGGTGACTTAATTAAAACGCAAAGGCACAGACCTGGTGCGAGGTTGGTCAGGGCTGTAATGATGTCGTAGTTGATGCATGGTTCGCGTTCTTCAACGGGTTCCCAGCCGACAGGTGGCGATGCAGGCGGCGAAATGAGGAACTGTCGCTGCGGAGACGGGGGCTGCAAGTGGCCATCCTTGCCCTCCTCCGGTGACGAGGCCTGAACGAGATCGCACATCTTTCTGACCAATTATCTGACTCATCAGCCATGATGAGCCAAACCAACCATGGCACGATGAGTTTTCTAATACTCAAGCACTCCAAATAATTTAGGCCACCCAAGGTACTTTATTACGTACTTACACCTCAGTACGTAAGTTAAGTTAAATTTCACTGTCATCGAAACATATTTCAAGTGGTCAAAAATTCTACAAGCACAAGAATTCTCCATTGTTGGCAGTGCGGCTGTGCAGCTCAGTTAAGTAAAACCGTTGTGGTGATGAGGCATAGGGGCCAGGGCAAGCGTGAAATCGCTGAAGCGTACGAAATCATAAAAGCAATAGACATTTGCATGAGCCAGCCTTCAATCGCTCTCACAGATGCTGAGATTTCGTATCTGCAGCATACCTTATTACGTGCTTGGTGGTGTAGTCAAGATTTTTTATGCCTTCATGTTTGCATATATACATGTTTCTTGCATTAAACTTTCAGTTGTTATTATTTATTATATTACGTTTTATTGGTGCAGAGCACCAGTGCAAGCGTTGATTTCAGGTTATTCATCTCAAAATAAAACACATTATGTGTAGGGAATATCTTTGAAATGTTTAAAACGGAGTGCGCTTAAAAGGAACGTCACTTTGTTAAAAGCCTTCATATCATTGGCTGGAGTCTGTGGTAATAAATGAGTCAGCAAGATCCGAGGCCCTCACGGCTGAAGTCCTTGCCTGAGCAAGAACTGCGAAGGCTCAGACATACCTGTGTTTTTTAGCACCAGGTGGTACCTCACACTCGTGGATAGGATAGAATGATATCATTGTTAAAAATTTGACTTTCCCGAGATAATAAAGAAGTCTCTTAAGGTCAAACATTGCATCGAGTGATAAAAGCAGCGCGGGATGAAGTGGACTATGATACCGGTAGAGCTCTCTGAAATGAGTCAGTCACGCTTGGTGAAGCATAGGGCATTTAATGAGAACATGCAAAACGGTTAGACTTTTTTCACAGTGCATACATGTAGGTGGATCAGTGCCTGTCAAAAAGTGTTTATGTGTGGCATAAGTGTGGCCTTCCTGAGCCGTGTTAGAGTGACTTTGGCGAACCTGTTGAGTTTTTGTGGGATAACTTTTCTCAGTTGGGGTTTTACAAGGTGGAGTTTGCTGTCGACTTCTCTGTCCCATTCAGCTTGCCAGTGGTTGCGTAGACCTCTACGTACAACAGGTTTTAGGTCTACACCCGGAACAGAGGTTATATCTATTGTTTGCCGACCAGCGGCTTCTCGTGCATTCTTGTCCACTATTTCATTGCCCGCAATCCCGGATTGACCTGGCACCCAGTATATACCAATAAAAAGATTTAGGTTATAGGCCGCACAGATTTCATTAAGGAGCTTGTTGAAAACGGGGTTCTTGCTGTACTTGTCACAAGACAGGGCTGTGACAACACTTAAAGAATCTGTGTACACTATAGACTTAGGTATCTTGTGTTGTATATTGTGCTGTATTATAACCACGATGCCCTAGGCTTCTGCTGTGAAAATTCTGGTATGTGTATGCATAGTTCTAGTGCCGGAGAAGTTTTGTCCATAGGCTGCATGGGATACAGATGTTTGAGACTTTGAACTCTCAGAGAAGAATTCGGCTGAAGAATATTTGTGCTCAAGGGCCAAAAAATGTTTCTCAATTAACGCACTTGGACAAGTTTTCTTTTTGACGTCTCTGGAGGACCAGTTACAAGTTACCGGACACTGCTGCCATGGAGGAATGTGTTAAGCGTGGTCACTTTCCTGTAAATCATCTAAACAAATTCCAAGTTTTGCTACTGCAGGTCTTAATGCCAATAAAAACAGTGGGGCGATAGAAGGACGGTTTAGGTATAACCGAGTAGTGGACGCATTATTCATAAGTGTTTTGCATGGGTGCTGCTTCAGAGACATGATTCTAACCGCATAGGTGACTCAGGATATGTGCGCTGATAGTCCCGTGGCCACTTATCTGACTCTGCATAAGGGCTTTGGACAGAGCTGGTACGAAACGCACCAAGTGACAGCTGGATACCTAAGTGTTATACAGGGTCCAATAGTTTGAGTGCTGTCCTTGAAGCGGACTAATATACTATGCATCTGTGGTCTATGTGCAACAAGACCAGGCTTATAAACAAATATATGAGACACTGCCTGCCTGTCCCTCACAACTGATGTGATAAAACTTTTAAAAGGTTCATAATCTTGATACATTTTAACTTCAGCTGTTTTATGTGCTGAATGAAGGTGAGTTTAGCATCAAAGATTACACTGCAAAATTTTTGTTTTTTCACGATGACTAAACTTTGTCCATTCATTAGTATGTAGGGGTCAAGATATACACGTCTTCGTCTGGAAAAAAAAGCAAACCAGTAGTCTTGTCAGTGTTAAGCTTAAAACCATTCTCATCAGCCCATTTCGCAAGGCGGTTAACACCTAATTGTATTTGGCGTTTACATAGAGTCAGGTTACACGATTTGAAATTTATTTCAATGTCGGCCACATAAACGGAGTACAATATCGCAGGTGGAATAACAGAGCAAAGAGAGTTCATTTTAACTATAAAAAGCGTGCAGCTTAATACTCCGCCCAGCGGCACTCCATTTTCTTGAAGAAATGTGTGCGAGAACACACTGCCTATTCTTACATAAAACTTCTTTTCAGACAGGTAATTTCTTAAGATGGTAATCAACCTGCCGCGTATTCCGAAGGACAATAAGTCTTGCCGGATTCTGTATCGCCATGCAGTGTCATATACCTTTTCAAGGTCAAACAAAACAGAGGAATAGTACTGGTTGTGTATTCATGCATCACGTATATATGACTCGAGGAAGACAAGATTATCAGTAGTAGACCTTGCTGCACAGAAGCCTGACATGCACGGCTCAAATATACCGTTGTATACCATGTAATAGACCAAACGACAATTAATAATTTTTCAAACACTTTCATTACACAGCTTGTGAGTGGAATAGGCCTGTAACTATTTACCGAAGTGGGATCTTTGCCCTGTTTAAGAACTGGTAGAACTATTGCCTCTTTCCAAGCAGAGGTATTTTGCCAGTATTGAAAATCTTGAAACTTTCAGTTGTTAGACAGCGCTTATGTCATGCACTTTCTTGTGTTCTTTGTGCTTTTTTTATCTCCGAAGGCGAATCGCACCAGAAATGCTAAGGCTTAAATATAGACAGTTTAGGAATTAATGCAACTAAGACAATTAATCAGTAGAATTTGATACCAAATTAAGTTGCAAAAGTTAGATCACTCAGTTTTTTGAAGCAATAAATTCTACAGTGTACTCTGATGATAAAAAGCAAGATTGTGATGCCATGTGTAAATTATGTGTTTTGTAATTAGATTATGATATTTATTTTATCTTTTTTTATCTGCTGTAATATGATGTTTCATCATCAGCAGCAGCAGCAGTAGCCTGACTAGACCAACTGCAGGGCAGAGGCCTCTCCCATGTTCCATCAGTGAACTCGGTTCCGTGCTTGCTGTTGCCACTTTTACTCACGAAGTTCCTAATCTCATCTGCCCGCCTAACTTTCTGCCTCCCTTTTGTGCTTTTGCCTTCTCTGGAAATCCAGTCTGTGGTCCCCAATGAGCAGCGGCTTTCCTGCCTACGTGCACTTCGTGCCCAGCCACTATTTCTTCTCCTTTACTTCAACTACGATATCCTTAGCCCCAGTTTGTTCCCTGACCCACTCTGCTCTTTTCTTGTCCCTAAGGTTACATCATTTTCCTTTCCATTGGTCGCTGCATCATTCTGAATTTAAGCTGAACCTTCTTTGTAAGCCTCCAGGTTTCTGCTCCATAGGTAAGTACTGGTAATGTACTGCTGTTGTATACCTTCCTCTTGAAGGATAGTGCTAGATAACCATTCATGATTTGCGAATGCTTGCCTAATGAGACCCACCCCATCCTTACCTTTACAGCTATTTCACTCTCACGATTCGGCTCCGCCGTTACTGTACCTCTCCTAAGTAGACCTTTGCAACTTTTCTTCTTTTTGCTTCTTTGTTGAGTGTTCTTTTTGTGATTATCAAACAACTGTCGAGCCTGGCCAGTTAACTTCACCGAGCCGAACCCTCACGCGGGTGAGTCAGTGGGCAGTGCACAAAACACGTGTTCAAATTGTTTAATGATTTCATCAGACTTGTTTTGATGCCGCTGTATTGGTTCCACTGCATAGCCGCAGAAGAACAATTCCTTTGAAAGACGATGGTCAAGCTGCCATCTGTGTACATCGGAAGGGGCCCGCGTTTGTACAAAAAGCCTCTCCGGAGGAGCTTGTCGTTTGCTTGCGACATCGGGGAAATAGAGACGTGGGACACAGCTGGCGCGGCACGGGGGGCAGAGTTTGCTACGTATTGGGAGTGACCCTCGGAAGCAATTTGCAGTTGTCGAGCCTGGCCAGTTAACTTCACCGAGTCGAACCCTCACGCGGGTGAGTCAGTGGGCAGTGCACAGAACACATGTTCGAATTGTTTAATGGTTTCATCAGACTTGTTTTGACGTCGCTGCATTGGTTCCACTGCGTTGCGGCAGAAGAACCATTCCTTTGAAAGACGATGGTCAAGCCGCCATCTGTGTACGTCGGAAGGGGCCCGCGTTTGTACAAAGAGCCTCCCCGGAGGTGCTTGTCGTTTGCTTGCGACATCAGGGAAATAGAGACGTGGGCCACACTGGCGCGGCACGAGGGGCAGAGTTTGCTACGTATCGGGAGTGACCCTCGGAAGCAATTTGCGGTTTTGAGAGGAATGTGGCCGCGCCGGTCCAGTTTCACGTAAAGTGGTGAACGAGAAGAGAATACTCGTTTCCCCAAAGGTAGGCAGGTGTCGAGGTGGCAGGCGGCATCATTTAATGAGGGGAAGCCCGACTGTCGACAATGGGGACCCCTCGGCGGTGCGCATCTATGACTTAAAAGGACAACAGTGAGGAGAGATTTCGCTTTGACTTTGCGTGGAGCCAATGGCAAGCTAACTTGCTCGGCGTTGGCGACATCCTAAGCAGCTGAGGGACTCACGAGTGTTGTCCCTGCGCCAAGCAAACTACACAAAAACATAAGGAAGTTGTAAACAAGAGGGCTCTGGGACACTGCTGTAGTTGTCGCACAGTGTCGCTCCGAAAATGTACTATAGAGGGCGGGCTCTAAAGGGGGTGGCTATGATGTAGACTGGAATAACCCCGCCTCTTTTTTCGGTATTACGATCTGATGCGCTCATTGGTGAGAATAGGGTGAGAGATTCAAACAATGGTTCCACCTATATCACAACTGTTTATAAACGAGGTGTATGTGTGAATGCGAGAAGCCCGAGCCGGGAATCGGCCACCGCTGGGCAATAATCTTTGTTGACCTGATCTGATCTTGCTTTTAGCTTTTGCTTTTAATAAACAGTTTTGTTCTGGAAGTTCCCTTCCCTCGTTGCAAGGTGTCTTTCGCTTGACTTTCCGTGATTTTCGCTTGACTTTGCAGACGATCCGAAAGAGGCATCCCAAGTAGCGGGAAACGCTGAGCTTCCTACCGGCCTGGCTTTGATCGTTGTTTAACTCTGGCCTATCTGACCATGATATCGTTGCAGTATACTTTTTGTGCTAACGTTAAACATACGCCTGTCACGCATGCATCTATGACTGTAAGAGACTTTGCACGGGCTGACGATAGCAGTATAACAGACTATATTCATTCCTGTTTTTGTGAATTTCGTGAGAGTGATGTCATCGTACTCAGGAACAAGTTCAATGACATGTGCTTATTCTGCATTGATCATTTCATCCTGAACAAATGTGTAAAGCCAACTAAACATACGCCTTAGATGAACAGGCGTATCTCAATTAAAACATAAAGCCAAATGATTACGAAAAAAAAGGATATACTGCTGTTCACTTAGCGAATGCTCATGTGGCTCTGTCGGAATCTATGGCAGAAGCAAAGAAGTTTCATTTCAACAATAATTTACCTAAATTCACTAGGGAAAATCCACAAATGTTCTGGAACATTATTAAAGAGCGAGATAAGTCAATAACGAACATTACACATGACGGTATTGACATATCTGACCCTAAGAGTATTGCAAACCTTTTAAATGCCCTTTTCCACAGTGTTTTCTCCCCACTTACTCAGCCCTCTTTTCATAATCTATGGGCCTTCTCCTTGGATATGAATATTTCTCAACAAGGTGTGTTGAACTTGCTTCTGAAATTGAAAACGAAATCATCCGTGGGTCCTGATAACATTCCTAACTTGTTCCTCTGGCGGTATGCTGAACTACTCAGCAAATATCTTGCAGCAATCTTTCAGGCCTCTTTTGAATCCGCGGAGCTTCCTCCCGATTGGAAACATGCACGTATTGTCCCAATATTGAAAAAGAGTGACCCTTCTTCAGTCTTAAGTTACTGTCCGATTTTTATTTGATCATCGTCTTGCAAAACAATTGAGTATATTGTTGCAGACTACATGAATAACTTCTTAAATGGGCCTAAAATTTTAACTCCCTTTCAACAAGGCTTCAGGAAGGGTCTATCGACAGTTACCCAATTGAGTACAGTCATTCATTCATTCGCTTTTGTCCTTGACAGAGGTGGCCAAATGGACGTCATATTTCCAGATTTTCAAAAGGCTTTTGATGTTGTCCCTCATGACAGATTAATCTGCAAATTAAATCACCTCGGATTTCCTAGTTTCATCCTGCCGTGGATAACTGCTTACTTAATGCATTGTGAACAGCATGTTGTGATTGACGGACAGCAATTTGATTCTTCTTCGGTGACTTCTGGGGACCCCCAAGGTAGTGTGCTTGGCCCTCTATTAATTCTTATTTATTGTAACGACATAGTAGATGACATACAATCTCCTATAAATATTCGTTTTTTTTTGCAGACAACTGCGTTATTTTTAATGAGATCAATACAGTTAAAGATCAATTGTTGCTTGATTATGCATTAAACGGTATTTTTTTAAGTGGAGCAATAAATGACGCATGAAACTGAACTCCTCTAAGTCTGTGTTTTTTCGTATACCTAGAAAAACAGCGCCGCTAAAATTTCATACTATACTGGCCAAGACCCTTTGACTGACGTTAATGAGTACAAACATCTTGGAGTTACCATTACTAACAACCTTAGTTGGCGCACCCACATTTCTAACATTGCCTCTTCAGCTTTTAGAAAATTAATTATGCCTCCTTCACCACAAGCTTAAGCATGCACCCCATGACGTGAAAAGTTTAGCATATAATACTCTCATCAGACCCAAATCAGAATACGCCTGCATCATTTGGGATCCCTTCACCAAAACTAGCATTGATGCTCTTGAAAGAGTACAAAGAAAAGCCATGTGATTAATTTCTTCTAAATACAGCCGCGATGACTCCGTTACTGAACTTTTACACTCCAACGGATTAGAAATTCTACAAATGAGGTATAAGATTTCCCGACTGAAGTTTCTCCATTCTTTCTTCAATTGTAAATTTTTCGTAGACCCCAAACCTAACATAACCCTTTCTGAGACTAAGAAAACTCGTCATTCACACTCCCTCACACTCTCTCCTTATCTTCTCAGAACTGAACTATTTAAGTATTCTTTCCTCCCCAAAACTATTGAAGGGTGGAACCCAATACCTTTTCATCATATGCACTCGCCTGAATCAATACAGGACTACATCCTCACCGTTTTTTAATCCTTTTGACTTTTACTTGCTTGTTAGCCGTTTTTGTGTGAAACTTTTCATTGTGCATTGTACGTTTATTTATTTTGTCTGTTGCCACTTCTGCTCGGACCACATGGCCTGCAGTATGTTGTAAAAGAAAAAAACTTCCAGTGTCTCGCCTCCGGTTGTGAAGTGCTATTTTATGCCAAAACTGTTGCACTCTTAGCCTTCTGCCTTCGGTGCCTAGTTGAGTAATCACGATTTATAACTCGTTCCCTGAGTTACTAATCAATGATATGTTAGGACCACAGAAGCTTTGTTGAGTTGTACTGACCCATGACTTAGGAGTGCAAAACAGACAAGATACAAGAGAATGAATAAACAGGACAAAAGCTCATTTCACACTAGTAAAGCTTTTTCACAGAAAATGCCCAGGTTCTATGTTACACAGATTATAAAGGAAATTTTTGCCGGCCTTGGATGATTTGAGAAGTGTTGTTTTATCATATTAGTTGTTTTCCACTGTCTGTATGGTTGTATTACAGCGTCTTTTTATGTGTTGTCTGCGTTCGTAGTACTAAAAAAATTAAGATAAAGATATGAAAATAGAAGTACACAACTTGCGATTATGCAGTGAAAGATTGTGACATTAGCTACAAATAAAGTGCTTTCTTTCACAGCTCTATCTGTGGTACTGTTTGTAAAGAAATCTTGCTATTGTGCCCACTGTGATGACGAAGTTTTATGCATGCACACTGGCTTTGTGCACATTAGTTTTGTGAATTCACAATGAACAGTTGGTAGTCTGCACTCTTTCTTGTTCCCCCTCTTCTTTCCTTTTGCTTGTGCAGTGGGTTGAGTTTTGAAGGTACCTGGTTGGTGTTTCCCAACCATGTGCCCTCCAGGTGTAATCTTTTTACATACTGTAACGATGAAGCAGTGTCTACAGCTTTGGAAATGTGAGTTCAGTATGGTTCTCGTAGCTGTCAGCGAAGAAAGAAAACAAGCTCCAAAAATAACTGGCTGACCTGAGCAAAGTAGCAGTTGAGAACGCTTTCGCCAAACTGCATCTGGTGGCAGTGGATGCGCGCTCGGGCCGCAGAGTCCGGGCTTTCGAAGGTGACCCTCGCACGGCGGAAGCTGCGGAAGTATCCGAAAGTGGCACCAGGCTCGATGAGCTCAAACATCTCCTCAAACTTGGCCTGCACACAGGAACGACGCCTAAGGGCTCAGCCATTCACACCACTCGGTTCATGTGAGTTACCTCATCCTTGACAGTAAAGCGAGACTGCCAGTTTTTCTTTTCTCTTAGCTGCTTGTCCATCAATACATTTCCTTTCTGTACTTTTTTAAAGGTATCTTTAAGGGACCCAGCAACAATTCTTCAGCATGGTCCGAAAACGCTGCCAACTGTTAGTCGAGGCTTCTGAGAACACACGCGCCCACCATTATAGTGCTACAAACGGCCTAGAACCTGCAATCAATTCCCAAGTTCAAACAGAAATCATTCCCCTTTCTTTCAGAAAATGATGCCACATACCAACATGAATGAGAAATATACCCAAGATTTATGATCTTTGGCTGGCTCGACATACCCGCGCATGCTTGCGATCACACTGAAAGTAAGCATAAAAATAAGAGCTCAAGGTTACGACATGCATGTGATGCAACTTTCCCCCGTGCCGCCTCACAGTGCTAAGTTTTCAGCATGCTTATCGGGACTAGATAAGAGGGAAAGCAATTGTAGCGTGCGCACACCTCTGTGAATCCACTCGTACTTCACAGACAGATTCTAAAAATTTTTGTGGTTGTCGATTCGTGAGGCTATAATCTTTTTCAGTAAAGCAACTCGATGGTTTCTTGGAAATTGCAGGGCTGCTTTAAAGGCATTATGAAGAGGTAACATACTCAACAAGTGTTGAAGTTATTGACAAAAAGTAACACGAATGCAGGTAGTAGCAGCGAGTCAACACTGGTGAAAGTGAAAATTAATGCAGTCAAACTTTCAATCAATCTCAAGAAGAAAAAGTGGGCGGCAGCACATGTTATCTTGACAGGAACCTAGGAACTGAATAAGGATAAGGAAGCAGATGTATAAACTAGGTTCATTTTCAAATTATTATAAAACAAAATCCAATAGCAACAAACTAATGTGCACACAAAAAAATTTCAAAATTAAGGTCTAGCAACACAATCACAAACAGTGAAAATAAACTGGTACATCAAGATTCATAAAATAATAGAAACCTAAGCTATGCCTTTACACAATTTATATTGCTTCAGTCTATTTTCATTTATTCGTTATATACTATGTTGATCAACAGTCCAGGCTTAATTAAGTAAGGCATAATAAGCACTGGTGAAATAATACAGAAAACATTATTAATATAAACCATCATTAAACATCTTAAGCACACAAATAGTAGCAAAAAGAAATGTTATCAATTTTATTGCCTCATTTGAGAAAATGAGAATGACTGACCAAGTAACTGAGTGATGGAAGCCTTCACTTAAGAAAGGAACAACAAATCAATACTTCCATTCACTGCAACAAGTTCCAAACAAACACCCAGTGTTCGTACAGGTTTCAAACAGGATTCGAACAGGTTTCAAAAGGGAAAATTAAGGATACTCCAGAAATTTGAACAACCTGCCACACATTTCTCGAGGGCTAGAAAAACAGCATCCAAATGAGGACTTTTTCATTTACTACAACATTGTTTCAATGGCTGACGAAATTTGTTGCACATTATACAGTTGAAAGTGAATTCAATGAAGTCAGCACGACAATCAGCTTAATTTGGTAAGCCAAGAAGTTTGTAAAATTGATAAAAAAGTTTTTAAGACCTCTGAAACCTGAAACTGTAACAGAAACACACCCGAAATCTACCACGGCTTAGTTGTTCCCACTAACTAACATGTGTTAGCGTCAAAAGTCTGTTCAGGCGTACAGAACATTGAGCCCAAGATATGTGGTCCAGGCGATGAAGGCCAGGTACACAGTCATGTGAAATATGACATGCAGTGATTATGCGAGCAGGGAGAGCAAGAAAGTTGCAAGGATACGATCAGCCTCATCTGTCGTATAAATCGTGAAATAACGAAAGCACACAGTAAAACAATAAGCCATTGCTACTCTTAGTGCCATTTGGAATGTAACAACAAAACTCTTGATTCCACTGTTCCGTGTGTGTGGGTGGCCTGTAACCCTGTCAAAATAAAACCAGTCTTGTGACTACGAGTGACATGTTTTAACGCAATAGTGTTAGCGACCACACACATAGAAAAAATACATCTGTGTAAAAAAGGTAAGCATTACTTTGCTATTTTATTTAAGACAGAACTTAATTAAAACAGTTTTAGTTCCACGCTAGCTTCATTAGTTCAGGTTGACAACAACGTTGAACCCTACAAGTACCTGCCGCAGGATGCAAATATCTTACTTGGATGTAAAATCTGGTTTAGTAGGGTCAATTTTTAACTGTGATGTTATACTGCAGAAAAGCCTAGACTTAATGTCATTTAAAGTAATTGCCAACACACCACAAATGTTTAGGACAAGAGCTGAAATTTTTCTAGTGTTATTAATGTTTGGCATTGTTGCAGTATACTAACCACATGTACCACTCGCTTGACAGGAAATAAAGCAGCATATATGCAGGAGACAAGAGTTAAGCGGAGAGGAGATGAGCAAAGAAAAAGAATGCGAAACACAATGAACTGATGGAAGTGACTGAATATACCAACCGCGCAACTTAAAAAGTAGTTACAGTGTAACTAGGGAAGCAAAGATACAAGAATAGGAAAGAGCGCTGACTTTCAACAATGATTTAATAGGGGAGTGGTGTACAAATATACGCAACATTGGGCAAACCAAAAGGTGCTTGAATGACCATTTAAGAGAGTACAATACCAATGTGCAAAATGCGGTCCAAAAACACCTCGGAATTCACTGCCGAGAATGCGGCTGCATGCCCCTCTTTGAGCGTTGCGAGGTAATAGGCATGCACCACTCACAGGCCATGAGTTACGTTCCGTTTGGTTCTTTCCACTCGCCTCTCGCTTGTTGCGCGACATTTGCTGCTGCCGCCAAGGAAGCCGAAGACGAGAACTTTTCATCTGCTGGCACCTTGAGGAAACGACCGCTCCGACATCATCTGGGTATAGAGACGTTTATTCGTTTTTCTTTTCTCCCTCTCACTGTCCCTGCACCCCTGGTTTTATCCCCTGTCTCCCCATTCAACCACTCTTCCAGTCCAATCGTAATGCACCACTCTTATAGTCCAATCAAAACGCACAGATGTGTCTCTCCTCGCCACAACCTCGAAGACCCACCGCCTCTTGCCCACTCATCGGTTGTCCGCCGTCACTCAGGTTTCTTTCACACCGGTTCCCGGAATGGTCGACGACGGGCGTTGCCAGGTCGTGGAAAAGCGCCTCCGAGTAAGTTCCCGCGATGCCGGGTTGACAGGCCATCAATACAATTGGCCCCTGCGCCAATGCCGTCGTCTCCACTGATTCCGATTGTCCGGCGGACGCGTACGTGTACCTTCCACGTGTACCGGCCACCTGCAGCCTGGCTTGGTCTCCTGTAAGGCGCCATAATTGAGCCCGACAGCGGCACGGGAGTTGTCGCGTCCTTTGTGGCCAGCAGACAGTCATCGTCCCGCATTCCGGTGGCCCTGCTTCCTTGTTGGCGAGGGGTCGCCGGCCGCTGGGTGGGTAACGTAAGGTATTCGGGGAACGCACGAAGTTTGAGCCCAACACCTCCCCTCCAACTGTGTTGCACTGTATCTATGACATGCGACACAAACACAACCACATATGCACACATGTTCACTGGCTCGACACGTGAGGCACCAACTGTCACTCGTACCTCGTTGACTCCGTCGCGCGCACGCGCTAACAAAGCATACACCCCCCTTAACTCGCTGTCCCTTTTCTGCGTCATCGTTAGGAGTCACTAACCGCGACAATGCGTCGGCATTAGCGTTTAGACACCCCTTTTTGTGTTCAATTTCCAGGTTATACTTCTGTAGTGCCAACGCCCAGCGGGTCAGCCTAGCGCTCTGCGGAGTGGTTAGAGTCAGAAATTTGAGTGGGTTATGATCGGTAATCACCTTGATTTTAGCGCCAAACAGCCAAACATCCAACTTCCCCAGTGCCCAAATGATTGCATAAGCTTCCTTTTCTACTGTGGCCCATCGGGTCTGAGCCGGGCTAAGCTTCTTGCTCAGAAAAGCGATAGGGCGCTCCTCGCCCACCAGATCCTGCTGTGCCAGGCACGCACCAACGGCGTAATGGGATGCATCTGTGGCGAGGATAAATTCTTTCCCCGGGCCTGGTACCTGCAACGCCGACGCCTGCACTAGACAGTTTTCCACCTTGTCAAAAGCTTCCTGCGCCTCTGTATTCCAAGGTAATTTCTGCGGAATACGTCGGCCAGTTAGGTTAGTCAGAGGCATAACGACTTTGGAGTACTCGGGCACGTAGTCCCTATAATAGTTGGCTAGCCCTAAGAAACTACGAAGCTGTCCCTTTGTTTCGGGAGCCGGGATCTCCTTTATCGCCCTGACCTTCTCTGGATCGGCCCCGAATATCACTCCTACTGCAGGTACTCGAGCGTGACATGCGCGAAGCTTGTTAGCGTGAATGGTTCTGCGTGAACCGTCCTCAAGCTCATCTAAATAACTGTACGGTCGCGGTTTTTCGACCACTGTGATCGGTCCCTTCTACTTCGCCACTAGCTTCCCCTCTCCTTGATGACCTGCCCATGGTGAATCGTGAGCCATTTTCAGCACTTCTTTGTGCCTGTGCGATGGTAGCACTAGCTGTTTGCAGATGCGGCCCGCGAGGTGTTCCTGATGATACAATAGCTCGTCTTTAACGAGCATATCATGCGTTCCGGCCTTTGCCTGCGCCTAAAAATCTCGCAGAGCCGGGTCTGCTTCCTGAGCCTCACGAAACTCCTGTCGTTTGCTTTTGACCGGCTCGGAACCTTCGCTGTTGCTCTCCGCGGTTATGACGCCTGCCATCGCCCGTTGCTCCTCGCATGCCTCATCTGACAGCTCTACTATAGCTTCGGTCTCCTCGACTGCTGAACGCTCGTCTGACACTATGTCACGTTTAACCCTTTCCTCGAGAAGCTGTGCGTAATCATTGGGCGTGATCAGCGCGTCGGTGCCGCCTAGCCGCTTATCTG